AGCTCATGAGCTGAGCATGGTTTTTACATTTTTAAACAGTTGGAAGGAAAACACAGAAAAGTATGTGAGAGTTTATATGTGGCCCACAAAACCTAAAATATTTACCATCCTGCCCTTTGCCTTAAAAATTTGCTGACCTCTGTTAATCAGCCACTTTTTATAGTTCAGAGGAGATGGTCAAGTCTCATTGTGGAGAGACTCGATACACACGAGCATATTTATGGTCCTGACAAGTCCTGCAGTAAAGAAATCTTTTTACCTTTTATTGAAACCATAATTTCCCAAACTGATTAACTTCCTGGATCACTCACCCCCCAGAACATAAATAAACATCTTTCGAACCGTCGGCACAGGATGAAGTCTTAATTCCCTAGAGTGATACTCAGGTCCTTCAAAATGTAACTCCCGCTTCCCTCTCCCTTCGTGATTGCCCAGGCCCCCTCCGTGACTGCCCTTCCCGGCTTGGCCTTAACTTTTCCTCCTCCAAGGCTTTGCTTGTGTTGTTCCTGTACCATTTCCCCTTATCTTCTGATGAAATACCCATCATTTGTCCTGCCCAGAACAAAAGTCACCTCCTCTAGGAATTAATTACCCCTTCCTCTGAGGTCCCTGCATTCTGTTTACACAACTAGGAAGCAACAGCCCATTGTCACTGGCCAGGTACAAGTAGATTGTAGCTAGGAGAGAGGTGAAAATACTTTGATTAGTTGTGAATGAATGAGTATTAGAGAAAATCTGGCTTGCACAGCAAACCTGTGATTTAATGGATATTATTACTTGGGGGAGGAACCTTTGGTGGCGCAGTGGTAAAAGCACTCTGCTGCTAACCAAAATGTTGGCATTTGGAACCTACCCTCTGCTTTGCAGGAGAAAGATGTGGCAGTCTGCTTCCATGAAGAGAAAAGCCTTAGAAACGCTATGTGGCAGGTCTACTCTGTCCTATAGGCTCGCTATGAGTCAGAATTGACTCTGGGCAATGGGTTTGGGCTTTTAATTTTTCTTTTTTTAATTACTTAGGGTAGTAAGTAATAATAATTAGTAACAAGAACAGCAGAAAAAAATAAATGATAAGATTAAAGGAAAATAAGTAAATGATAAAAATAAATCAAAGTGGTCAAATTTTAAAAAACTTGATGGATAATTGTTGTTGTTATGTGCCGTCCAGTTGGACCCGACTCATAGCGACCCCTCCTTGGGTTTCCGAGGCAGTATCACTACGGAAGTAGATTGCCTCATATTTCTTCCGAGGAGTGGCTGGTGGGTTTGAACTGCCAGCCTTCTGGTTAGCAGTCAAGCGCCTTAGGCACTATGCTACCAGAGCTCCCTGATGGATAATAGTGTCTGCTATTATCGTACATACAGATGATATGTGACAGTGGCCGAAATGAAGGTGGTTACATCAGAGTTATCACCGGAAACAGAGGGAACACTCAAAAGGGTTAGATGGTGTGTGTGGGGGAGCTTTTAGAAAAGGATTCTTTATAAAGGTGACCTGTCCCAGTTAAATTAAAAATGAAAAACAAACAAAAAACCCAGGAGTAGGATTCGAACATCTGACTTCACCCTTAGCTAGGGGGCTGGATTCAGAGATCATAAACTGAGGCCCCTAGTTGAACCCAGCCTTCTCTTGCTCGGTTCCTCGCCACCCCCCCTAAATCTCAGTTCCAAAACTCAAACCTAGCTCACTGCCATTGAGTAGGTTCTGACTCACAGCGACCCCTCCTTGGTTTTCAGAGGTAGTATCTCTTTGGAAGTAGACTGCCCAGTCTTTCTTCCCAGGAGTGGCTGATGGGTTTGAACTGCCAGCCTTCTGTAAGCAGTCACATGCCTTAATTAGTTGCCAACACTTAAAAAATGGTATTCCACCTGAAAATCTGAATGTGTGATTTCTCTACGAAAATGAAATCTGACAGCTCTGGGCCACATTCCATGGCAAGCTGAATTCAGCTGCCCCTGGAAAGAGGCCCCCCTCTCCCATTCACCACAGTCTGGTACACTCCTGTGGGCCTTTGTGTTTGCGACCTGCGGTTAGGCGCGCCACCACTGTCCTCTGGTGGCCATCCCCGGTATTGCAGGGCAGGTCTACGCAGGCAGGGCTATCTGAAAGGATGGTTCAGGTAGGGCTGGGAGTGGGTGGGTCCTGGATTCTCAGTTTCCAGGAGGGAGCACTTTCCTAGTCCTGGGGGGATGAGGAGGATGAGCCACGCCACAGGGTCGTGAGAACCCTCCGGATTTGGAAGAATCCCATCACTTGGACATAAAACCAAAAGAAAGACCCGTTGCCATTGAGTCAATTTGGACTCATGGCGACCCTATAGGACAGAATAGAACCACCCCATAGGGTTTCTAAGGCTGTAATATTTATGGAAGCAACTGCCTCATCTTTCTCCTGAGGAGCCGCTGGTGGGTTCAAACCACCAACCTTCCAGTTAACAGCCTAGTACTTAACCACTGTGCCACCTGGGCCCCATTGGGTCATTGGTTAATCTTCTTGGTTGAGTGACTTCATGTCTTTTATTTTTCCCCTTTTAAAGATTGGAAGGCTCCTATCTTTATTTTCCCAAAGTAAGTTTTGTTTTTTCCCTGATTAGAAAGATAATACATACTCCTGTAAGGGAATGTCACTAATTCAGAAAAATATTCAGAAAGTGGACATCAGGGAAACATCACCATTCAGAGAGAATCCCCATCAGCACGCGGGTGACATCGTGTTATGAAGCTGCATGTGCACACGTGTGCACACACGCAGACTCACACAGATGCAGGACACACACAGAGATGTCCATTTATTACAATGGGATCATACTCGGTAATTCACGCTATTTCCTAAATATTTTTTTCAACAATATGGCACAGGTATCTGCCAGCATCTTCTACATTCTTTGTAGTGGCTTCTGGGGGTCCTGAATCCTCCGCATTAGAATCACGGGGGTGCTTCCTGGACTTGCAGACTCCCAGGCCCCATCCCACAGCTTGTTGTTGTTGGGTGCTGTCAAGTCGATTCTGACTCATAGCACCCCCGTGTGACAGAGTAGAACTGCCCCATGGGATTTTCTAAGCTGGAACCTTAACAGAAGCAGGTCACCAGGTTCTTCTCCCTGGAGCCACTGGGTGGGCTTGAACCGCTGACTGTTTGGTTTGCAGCCGAGTGCTTAACTGTTGCGCCCCAGGGCTCCTTTCCCAAACCTACAGACCCAGATTCTCTGAGGATGAGGGTGTGGTGGAATCTACATTTTAACTATATTTTTACTTGAAATCCCCTCCTCCGTTTATCTGAATGTACTGTCAGACGTCTACTGGCAGATGTTGAGGTTTTTCTAACTGGAGGCCGTTGTAAATAACAACACAACAGCAGCCTTGAGCAAACATCTGTGTCCACTTGTCCTATTACCTCCATAGGACAGAATCCTGAGACGGCATTGTCAAGGAGCGTGTGCCTTTCACATTTGGACAAGTTGCTTCGGCCTGGGGCTTCCCAAAGTTGGCCGCCTACAAGCAGTAGTAGCGGCAGAATCACCTGGGAGCTTGTTAGAAATGCAGCTTCGTGGCCCCGTCCCAGAGCTAGGCCCTCAGCAATGTTGGGGCTGGGGTCCAGCATTCTGTTGTCATCAGCCCTTCGGGTGATTGATTCACGATAAGGTTTGGAAACTGAGCTCTGGGGCCGCACTGTCCAGCACAGTACCTCTGGGCCACAGGTGACGCTGCGAGTTTACATTAAATGCCCTCCGCTACCAGTTGCTGGGCTGTTGGTTCTGATCCCTTGTCTGTCAGAACAGAACTGCGTGCCACAGAGCTTTCAGTTTGGGGCTGAGTTTTTGGAACTGGGTCACCAGGCCTTTCTTCCAAGGCGCCTCTGGATGGACACGAACCATCAACCTTCTGCTTAACGTCTGAGTGAGTTTATCGTTTGCCACACCCAGGGACTCCTAATTAAAATATAAAATTAAATTTTCAAATCATTTCCTCAGAGGTATTAGCCACTATGGTAGTTATGTTTGTGTGTCAACTTGGCTGGGCCTGGTTCAGGGGCTGGGCAGCTGGTGGTAGTTATTCCCCATGATGAGACTGGCAATCAATTCCATAGTAGGATCTACCACAAACAGCTGAGTAGCTGCCTTTGGGTATGTGGTCTGCTTCCTGTATATAAGGAGAAGCCTTGGGTATGGTCTCTAGCCTATGGCACGCTTGGACCCTGCATGTAGTCGTGTCGTTGCTCAGCAGCCTGCCATGCTCTGCCGACCTTGGGACTTACAATGGACTTAAGTTAATGGCCTGCCGTGTGGTTTGGTAACATCGGGACTGTGCCTTTTTACTTGTCAACCTTGGGGCTTCTCAGCCTCAGCAGCCAACAGCTGTCTGAGAGAAGAAACGCCTCTAGCTCCAGTGGGCTGGGAGCAGGAGGCAGAGCTGGACCCCAAGGCTGAGGGGCTTTCACTCAGCCTCTAGAGCTTGGCACTTTGAACTTGGGCTTAAAGCCTCCAAATTGTAAGAATAAACTCCTGTTTGTTAAGGCCATCCCATTTGTGGCATCCTCCTGTCAGAGCGGCACCAGGCAACCAGAACAGCCATATTTCAAGCACTTGTACACACACGGCTAGTGGCTATGGTATTGAAAAAGCAAACAGAACATTTCCACCAACACAGAAAATTCTATTGATTGTGCTGTTCTAGAAAAATCTCCGGAAACGATGAAGCACAGACTTTCCCATGCCCCCACCCTCCTTTCAATCCAGAAACACCAGGAAGGACCTTCATAGGTATAGTTGGGGCCCAAGGATTCTAGGGCTCCCTGAAACAAACCATTTAAATCCTCAACACCTCCCTGAGGCACAGCCTCACTTTTAGGGTGGGGGAGGGGAACCCCCCAGCTGTTCCTCACGGTCAGGTTCTCTCCTGAGCAGAACAACATCATTCAATTGCGGTCCCAGCAGAAATCTTCCCATGATGACAGCCGTTCAGCCCTGAAACAACTAGAGGTAAGAACAGGGCACAGAGGGCGGGGGTGCTGTCCATCTGTCTGTCAGGCAGGCAGGCAGGCTGTTATTCAGTTCTCAGGAGCAGGAAGGATGAGGAAACTGAGGTTATGAGTTAAGGTGTGTGGAGCGGGGACAGTGTATGACTTTGTATTCAACTGGTAATAACCCCCAAACCCACTGCCACTGAGGTGATTCCAACTCATAGTGACCCTGTAGGACAGAGTACAACTGCCCCAGAGCGTTTCCAAGGCTGTGATTTTTACTGAAGCAGACTGCCTCCTCTTTTTTCCGTGGAGCAGCTGGTGGGTTCACACTGCCAACCATTCAGTTAGCAGCTGAGTGCTTTCACCGCCGTACCACCAGGCTCCTTGGGACCAAAATAACAGTGGCTTAAGCAAGATAGAAGTTTATTTACTTTGTGAAGAAATAGGTCTGGAGGTTGGCCCTCCAGATCTGGTATGTTGTTGTTATGTGCGGTTGAGTCAAACCTAACTCATTGCGACCCCCCTCCTTGGGTTTCCAAGGCAGTATCACTACGGAAGTAGATTGCCCAACCTTCCTTCCGAGGAGTGGCTGGTGGATTTGAACCACCAGCCTTCTGGTTAGCAGTCAAGTGCCTTAGGCACTATGCGACCATCAGATCTGGTATAGTGGTACTGTAATGCCATCAGCATCGCAAGCCGCTTTTATTTATTTAGTTAGTTTTTGCTTTCCGTTCCCAAGACTGCCTCTGGGTTACAATATGGCTGCTGCACGTTCTGTCATCACATCTACACTCCAAGCAGGAAGAAGACTGGGGAGGCAAACAAGGCCTGTCTAGCCAAGTACCTTAAAAGTAGTTTCCCAGAGCTTAAAAAAAAAAAGTACTTTCCCAGAAGTTCCAGCCAGTGACTCCTGTGTTTACATATCATTGGGCATCCCTTTTGCATGTTGTTGTTAGGTGTCGTCCAGTCGATTCCAACGCACAGTGATCCATGTAAAACAGAATGACACACTGCCCAGGCTTGTGCCATCCTCAAAACTGTTGCTATGTGTGACCCCACTGTTGCGGCCCCTGTGTCAGTCCATCTCATTGAGGGTCTTCCTCTTTTTCACTGACCCTCTCTTACCGAGCATGATGTCTCTCTCCAGGCACTGGTCACTCCTAGTAACATGTCCAAAGTGACTCAGCCTCAGTGGCCTGCAGTCCCTACCATGAGGCATCTATTCTAAGGAGCATTCTGGTTGTACTTCTTCCAAGACATATCTGTCTGTTCTTCTGGCATCCATGGTATATTCAATATCCTTTGCCAACGACATCATTCACAGCCATCAGTTCTTCTTATTCATTGTCTGCCTTTTGCATACATATGAGGTGATGGGAAACACCATTTTTCAAGGAAGGGTTGGGAATATCACTTGTAGCTGGGCACATTGTCACCCCAAATACAACCAGAGTTTCGTATTAAGGGGAGAATGAGTATGGTGTGGCAATATTTGCCAAAGATATGACCCTAGAGAGCCACACTCCAAAGCCCTGCCCTAATTTAATAGTTCCTGGCCCAGGAACTGTGCTGCTTCTCTCTGTGGCTCGTTTTGTCTTCCTTGGCAAGCACCCTTGCACCTGGTGGACAGAAATGGCCATGCCATTCTCTCATAGGCCACCGGGGGGCAGCAAAGTACATGTTCTGCTAAGTGCCTGCCAGGGGCCAGGGGCAGAGAAGCCCAAGCTTCCAAAGCAGATCCAGGTGCAAGGAAACAGACCCTCCCCAAACGGGGCACCGAGCTGAGGCCTGAAGCCCTTTGCTCGAGTCCACCCTAGTCCAGACTCTTCCTTGGGGTTGGGTCTCGTCTGTTGCTGTGAATCTTAGGGTTTTGAGGCCGAGCAGCTAAGGAAGCGAATGGCAGATCCCAAGCATCTCCCTCAGCTCTGCCTGCGGTCTCCCCAGCAGCTGTTGCCCCCGTGACTTCAGTGTGACTGTTTTAGGGGGACTTTCTTCAAATGCAAACCCTCTAGGCGGGCAGGCTCTGTCTGACCAGCAGTGAGCTCACAGGATGTTTTCTTACCCCTGTAGAAGATCATTTCCACCTGCCCTTTTCCTGGATAAGGAGCTCTGGTGGTGTAGTGGTCGAGGCAGTTGAATGCTCACCAGAAAATCAGTGGTTCAAACCCACCAGCTGCTCCATAGAAGAAGGATGAAGCAATCCGCTTCTGTAAAGATTCACAGCCTTGGAAACCCAGTGGGGGTTGCTGTGAGTTATAACTGACTTGTTGGCTGTCGGTTTGATTTGGTTTTGAACCCAATGGGGGTCACTATGAGTTATAATTGACTTGATGGCTGTCGGTTTGGTTTGGGTTGGAGTATTCCTGTGAACCTTCTATTTCACAATTGCCTGCCCCTCTGGGGGCAATGGGACTGATCCCATAGTGGGAGAGTTTTGCATAGGAGTTAAACAGATGCCTAGATATGACCCTCCTAAAAGCCACATACTAGCTGTGTGACCTTGAGATAATTACTTAACCTCTCTGAGCCTCTGTTTCCTTATCTGTAAAATGGGGGTAGTAATAGGTACCCAAAGGAGCCCTAGTGGCACAAGAGTTAAGCATGTGGATGCTAACTGATAGGTCCATGGGTTCAAATCCACCATCCACTCCATGGGACCAAGACCTGGCGATCTGGTCCCATAAAGATGACAGCAGAGGAAGCCATATGCTTCCTGTGGGGCAGCTCTGCTCTGTCCTATAATCACTAGGAGTCAGAATTGATTTGACGGCCCATAGCAATAGGAGAAGGTACCCATTCTCAGGGCTGTGAACGTTGGGTAAAATCAGTGGAGGGCTGTAAACACTAGCTATTATTACTGTTGTTGTTTACCATGTAAGTTAGTAAATCACCTGGGATCACCATCACCTTGTTAGTAAATGAGTTATTACCAAGGAAGGAGTTTAGCCGGGCAGATGTGTATACAGTGAGCTCAATTCAAAGTTACTTTTCTTCTCTGAACTCAGTATTCCTCATCTGAACAATGGGCCCATGGTGAGGATGAGCTGTGAGGACATATATAAAGTGCCTGGAACACTGTAGGTTGGGGACACATAACACCTGTTGGTGTTTTGGTCACATCAGCCTTTTTTAAATTATGTGCTTTTTTTTTTTTTTTAAATCATGTGACCTTTTAATCCATCTTTAGAACAACAGGGCAGCTCTGGTGCCGAGTGAGTTTTTAGTCCTGGGAACTGAAATATTCTAGCAGCCGGCAGGAGGAAGCTGCCTGAGTTGCTGGTTACAAAGCTAAGTTCAAATCCTGGCTTTACTCTTTGGGCCTTGAAACCCGTTTCCTCACCTGGCCATTTTTCATCTCATTTGTTAATACTGCTGGTTGAGGCCCATTCATTTGGTCTCACGTCCCTTCAGAAGTTTGAAACCCTGTAGTGTGGATTGAGACCGTGGCCCCCTTTCTACTGCTGGTCCCCATAGTGGGGTGAGCTGACCCTGGTGGGAACTGGGATCTGCCGGCAGGAGAAACTCAAGAAGACCACGGAGGAGGCAGACAAGTATGAGAACAACTACAAGGAGATCAGCAAGACCTTGGACTCCCTCAAGAACGCGGTGGAGAGTCTGTTCAAGAAGATCAACTGTGACGCCACCAAGATCTTGGTGCAGCTCGGGGAGACGGGGAAAATCACTGACAACAACCTGCCACAGTATTTGGGTGAGTCAACCGGCCTGTGTGTCCCTCAGGTACCATTTACAGAACTTTCTGGAATGGGGACTCATTCTTCTGGAAGCAGTGAGCCTGGTGGTGAAGCATGTAGGCACTAAAGCCAGACAGTAGGGGTTTAAATCCAAATTTAACATAATCTACTGTTTCTCAACCTTGTGTCCATTACTCCTCCCCTTCTCGCCCCTTCCCCAGGGACTTTGAAAGACATTCTTTTCCTGATTTCCCCTCCCCATGAAACCTCAATGCCATAGATATGTTGTAGGTCTTTTTACATATTGACTGTATGGATATCTGTGCTTCTAAACAAGAGTCAGATTTCTCTCTCCTCTTAAGATGCCCCAGGAGCCAGGTGTCCTGGCACCATCTTGGTCTTGTCCATATCTTTCCAGCCATCATTGAAAAGAAGACCAATGACCTGCTGGTGTTGGAGGCTTACAAACGGGTCCTGGAGATAGAAGGGGCGGAGACAGAGATTCCGCCACCCTTCGTCAACCCTTTCTGGGGCGGCTCCGCCCTGCTCAAGCCGGCGGAACCCATCAAGGTGGTCCTGCCGGTTCTGGGGCAGGACATTCTCAGCGAGAAGTTGGACGACGGTGAGTTCGGTTTCCCTCCTCGTCTGCGCTGGCCTCTGGGTCGGTGCTCCGAAGAAGTGTCTGCCTTCAGGGCTGGGGCCACCGTTTCCAGGGGCCCGAAAGGGGCTGCAGTGTTGAGCCTCAGTTTCCCCCTCCCGTGAGTTTCTGTGGTTCGTGTGAGGACTTGTTCCCTGGCGCGTGCCCAGTGACTTCGCCACACGTCCCAAAGCTTCTATCTTGCATGTTTTTTAAAAATCACAATATGAAATAAGCCTTAAAAATAGCCAAATGCAATTAAATATATATATATATATATATATATATCTCCAAATGTACAAGCCAGCAAGTTACAGCCACACTGGATTCTCCGATCCCGTCCCTCACCCTCACCCGATGCTCCTGAGTCCTATGGCACCCCTAACCCCTTCTGCTTCCCTGACCCCGCAGCGAGGCTTGGGCTCCCCGGGCTGGGGCAGAGCCGGGCTGGGTGCCTAGCGCGGCCTTGCCCTGGGAAGGAAGCTCGCGGTGCTGGGTTAGTTCCAAGGGCCTTCCACAAATCTCGCGATGTCTGGTGCAGTCGAGCAGCCGCTGGACCATGGCAGCCTCCGGCAGCTGGTGCTAGACCACTACAGAGCCAGGGATTCTCGAAGCCCGCGTGTCGACAACGACCTGAAAAGGAAAAGCTGAGGTGCGGGCTGGATGCGTCTGTATCAACTAGAGAGAGTAAATGTTTAGTTCCGTAACCTCAGTGCCTTTGCACAGTCTGTACGAGGAGACTCGGGGAGTTGGGAGCCACCGCGGGGAGGGTGAAAAGCCAAGGAGTGGAGCAGCGCTCGCTCACAGCAGGGTCGTGTGTGCAAGTTGGTGCAGGAGGCAAGACTTGTGTGGGGTCCACTCTGTCACAAAGGCCTGTGAAATAGGCCCTGCTCGGGCCACGCCCAGGAGCCTGCCTCTCCCCCAGAGAAGCCAGGGGGGAGGGAGGGGCGAAGTTTCGGGGCCTCGTTGGAGCCAGCCAAGCGGCAGACTTGAGAATCACACTGGGTGTGGCAGTTGCAGGCAGCACCAGGAGCCCCAGGGGACAGGGGCTTGGCGGTCACCCTGAAGGCAGGTCATCTCCCAGCTTAGTCATCCTCTCTGGGTTCACTTCCCTCTCTGCCTCGGCTGCCTTTGCCTCTGTGTTGTCCTCTTCCTGTCCCTCTTCGCACCTCTCTTTTGTCTGTCTCTGTCTGTCTTTCCAGACATGTAAGAAGTGCATTTGGCTGTTCTTGTCTGTAGTTAGCTGGGGTTTTCCTCCGGGGCTGGGAAACTCCGCGGTGGCGGTGGGGGTGTTTCTTTCACCTGGCAGCAGGTCTCAGGCCCAGACCTGTCTCAAGAACCTTGTGTGCTGAGGCTGGAGGCGTCCCTGACCCAAGAGCCAGAGAGAAGGCTTGGGGAGCGGGTTCCTAGAGCGTAGGTGTTTTCTGGGTGGGGTGTGTCTATGTGTGCGTGTGTGCACCGATGTCTGTGTGTTTATATGTGTGGGTCGTTGTGCATCTGTTTCTGTGCAAATGTCTGCATGTCTTTATGTGTCTCTATTATATGTTTGTGTATGTGTCTGTCTTTGTATGTTTCTGTGTGTCATGTGTGCCTCTTCTGTGTGTGTTTGTCTGTGTTGGGCTGTCTGGCTCTGACCCACATGCTGCAGTTCATCAGTGACTTGTGCTGGGCCCGCCGTTCCGCCGCAGCCTGGGTGACAGGTTCTCAGTCTGGGCTGTCTGGAGGGAGTGGGAGGCTGAGAGTCATGGGTGACCGTGGGGTGGAGCCCGGACTCCCTGGGTCCCTATCCATCCCCCTCGTTGCCGGCTCTGCCAGGGGCCTGGGTTCCTGGCAGCAAGGTTGTGGCTGTAGCTCCTTGGGGTTGTTGTTCTTCAGCTTTGAACACTTGCCCCTGTTCCGAGTCCTACTGCCTCCTGGATCCTCTCACTCTTCTCTGTGCCCTCAGCTGCCACCCCCCATGCCCAGTGTAGGCTCTTTGTCCAAATCATTTTGGCTGCATGCTGGGTTCTGGGATTCTCTGCAAAATGTAGAGGACCTCACACCTACGCTGTCTTTGTCCAGAGCAACGTTTCGGTTGGTTTGGCTTTGGGAGCTGCCTCTCCCACTCTGAGGCCATGTTGGGCAGTGGGAAGGAGCAGTTTCAACCCTAGCATGAGGATTAATCATGTGACCCAGGTCTGCCAGTCAGAGCACAGCACCTACCAGTCCCCAGTGATCGGTTCAAGGTTGGTTCATGGCCATCACAGAGACATCTCATGAGGCTCTGTGCTGGGATTTGTATGGATCAGGGGAGAGTGACATGCACTCTTTCCACTAGGGTTGCTGAGGGGATAGACAGGAGCTGGGCGCTGCTGGGCGCCATTTTGCTGCCACTGAGAGCAGAGCAACATGACAGAAAGCAGAGCGGTGGAGAGGCCTCCTTAGGTCTGATGGCACAGTTTGACCTGCTGGATCCAGCTGTGCCTGAAGCCCTTGGATTTCTTATTTGTATGAGCCAATCTGTTTGTTGAGATTCTTGCAACCAGAATAGACCTGAATGCTTCAATGATGACTTTGGTCATTCAAAAGCAAGAGTCAACTCATACCTAGGTCTAGTTCCCGGACCCCCAGCCTGAGTCAGAAATCACTGAGTGCCCCTCCCTCAATTTGCCAGGAGGAAAGTGTAGACAACTTCTACTTTATCAGAAATTAGAAATTGATCTCTTAGGATTGATGAATCTGATTTCCAAAAGGTGAGCCTTATGCTTAGCATAAGGCCTCCTTCCCTCCATTTATCATGGGACCAGTCTAAGTGTATCAGTGGGAGAAACATTCCAATGGTATCCTAAAGGAAAAGATGTCCTGGAGGTTAGGTCCTCAGTCTGCTTGAGCTCTTTGGAAGGTGATCATCCAGTTAACATTAAAATGTGGTCCTTCATAGAGACAGTCCTGAATGGCTGTGGGGGGCTATTATAAATAAAGAGTCATGAAGATTCAATAATAATGACATCAGGGCCACTGCCAGCTCATACTTCACCTTTGTGTGAATGAGCACAGGGCCTTCTTTCCTCAAGGTGTTTCTATCTGTTAGAGAGACATCAACATCATAACCAAATACACAACCTACTGTTTATTTGAACTTGGCCTCTGGATGGATTTCCATCTGCAGGACGAGTAGCCATATGATTTGTATTAGCCACCAGGCTACAAAGAAGAAGGAGGTGGGTAAATGAGGCAGCCACACAGCCAACAGGCTGGGGGCGAGGATGGCAGTGCTGCTGGGCACGGAGAGATGAGGGCAGGGGCCCTGCTCCTCTGAAGATGAGCCCAGGGTCAGGAGGAGAGGCCCCCTTCTTAGTCTTTCTCTTCTCCGTGGGTGATGATATGCACCAGATTCTTGTAGTCCAAGTTGCCAGTCACATCAGGAGGAAACGCGGCGAACATCTGGTCAACCTGCAACCAACCAGAAGACGCGCTGAGGAGGATGGGAGGGGCTGGGAGGGAAGGCTGTGTGCAGATGCCACGTAGTGGAGAGGCAGCTGGGGGAGTGTGGTGGACACGGACATGTGTTGCCTAGTCCCCCCTCCAAGAAAGGACTTGTTGGCCAGCTGGTACACAGAGTGCCGCGTCCAGGTCACCCCCTTCTTGGGGCAGCCCACGGCCAGTGACAGATCTGTGCAGGGCTATAAAGGCCTGGCCTTCTCAGGACCTCCCCCAAGGCCATTCTAGCTGCAGGGCTCTCGGCACTGCCTTCTCCCTCGGCCCACTCCTGTGACCTTGCCCTTGCTCCTACAGGTGTTGAGTCCCAGGGCTGTCCCAAATAAACATCCAGTGGGCATGTTCCCTGGGGGCCCAGCCTGTGACCATGGGCAGAGATGGCAAACTCAGGTGTCCAGAGGGAACAGGCGGGTTACATACATGAGTCAAGAGGGGCTGGTGGGGACTGTGTCTAAATGAAGACACACACCCCACCTGCAGGGGGCAGCAGCCGCTCAGGGCTGGCCCAGTGTGCTCGCATCAAGGAGGTCTCCTTCTTCAAGGAAATCCAGAAATCCAGCCGTATGTACATTTGTACATGTGATTTCCTATTTTAAAAGTATTGACTATTTTAAAGAACTGGCTAATAGTTGCTAACACTGACATTGCCCTTATCACATGTCAGTGCTTCACGCCCTCTCTCCCGTGGATCCTCACAATGCGGGCTCTGTTACAATCCCATTTTACAGAGGAGGAAACTGAGTGAAGTACATGGGAAGGGGCTGGTCCCAGTCCGCACAGCTGCTGAGTGGTGAAGCAGCCTCTTGACTGCTTGAGGTTTTCTGTTTGGTGAAAATCGAATATTTTTAGTAGCATGTGGAAATTGATGGAAATAGACCCAAGAGGCTACAAGGGGCTGGGCTGTCATTAAGATTTAGGAGCAATGTTGGCAGAACCACTGCTTATGTACACAGCCCCGTTAATGACTTAGCAAAAGTGTCCCTTTCTTCAGACATATTACTGCCATTTGTCAAAAAAGAAAAAAAGTTCTAACAAGACATTTGACTGGCACCTGCTGGACAACTCTGGCAACAACTAGGAATCCACACCATCTACCAGGACAAAGACATGCCCGAGAGCTGTGTGGTGCGCAACGCACATCACAGTCCATGGCAGCCCTGCGTGTCCCCCTTCCTCAAACAGGAAATTGATGCTCTAACCAGGCCTGAAAGTTCCATGGGTTGTGAGGAAGGCAGTCCCTGGAGTGAGATGGACCTGGGTTTGAATCTTAAAAAAAAAAAAAAAAGCCAAAACCCTGTTGCCATCAAGTCAGTTCCAACTCATAGTGACCCTATAGAGCAGAATAGAACTGCCCCATAGGAGCTCTGGTGGTGTAGTGCCTAAGGCAGTTGACTGCTAACCAGAAGGCTGGTAGTTCAAACCCACCAGCCACTCCTTGGAAGGAAGGTTGGGCAATCTACTTCCATAGTGATACCGCCTCAGAAACACAAGGAGGGGTCTCTATGAGTCGGATCCGACTCGACGGCACTGAGTTTGGTTTGGTTTATTGTCAATGAAGGAATCCTGGTGGCGCA